AACACAACCAGAAGACATCTACCAATATGTAAAAAAAAATCTTCCGACACTAAAAACACAACCTAATTTTTTAAAATGTACAATCACTTCAAAAAACTTATTTAAAAAACTCAGTCAATTTTTTCAAAAACACAACCATCTCAAAAAACTCATTCAAAAAACTCAGTCAATTTTTTCAAAAACACAACCATCTCAAAAAACTCATTCAAAAAACTCAGTTCAAATATGAATATAAAATAAAAAGTTTATAATTTTATTTAAAATTTAAAATATATTTTCTATTAATTTTAATATTAATATTATTAAAAGTTAAATCGATACTACTATTTTTTTCTAACTCAATACTTTTAAATAATATTTCTCCTTTAATTCTTGATTTTTTAATTTCTCTTTTAACAACTATTTCTTTTTCAATTTCAAGTTGTAATGTAACTTGTCCACTTGTAATAATTTCTTCTGTTTCATATTCAATAATATCTTCATTTTCAACTTGAATTCTTAATCTTTTTTGTTTTTTAATTTCTTTTTTTTCTCTTTTTCCTTTTCTAAAATCTTTTGATATTTTACTTTATGATAGTTTTTAAAATGAGTTTTAAGATTTGAAACTTGAGTATTTAATTCATAAGAAGCTTCACATATATTACAAACAAGTCTTGTATTATTTAAATTAGAATAAAAATAATTTTGAATCTCATGAAAGTTTCTCATTTTGTTTAAAGAATTTGTAAAATTTTTTTAAGTTCATTAATAATTTATATACATTTTTTCTTTAATATAAATAAACTTGATTATATTTTAAAAATTATGTGATATTATTTTTTCAGATGTTTAGTAAATTGAATTTATCCTAATATAGATATAAACAAAATTCCAAAAGTAAAACAAATTTCTGATGAGGATGTAAAGTAGATTAACCAAATGTAGAACAAATTCCAAAAGTAGATTTTACTTTAAATTTATGTAGCAAATCAGATTTATTCTAATGTAGATATAAACAAAATTCAAGATTTTACTTTAAATTTTTTATGTAATAAATTTATTCTTGTAATTAGTTAAATAAATATAATCTAAAAAAAAGTAATTTTTATTATTTTACAAGATAATTTTACAAGACTTAGTTTTTTTAAAAATATAGATAAATTTTATCTATAAAAAGCATTGAAATTTGTCTTTGAGTTAAAGTATCGAATCTCAGGATTTGACACCAAAAGCATTACTTTTGGAGTCAGCTTTCAGAAAAAATAATTATTAAAAAGATTATTTCTTTAAGATAAAAAGAAATATTATAACTCACTTTATCAGATTTTCATCTATTAAACAGAAAGTATTTCATGAATCATTTATTATTTTAAATAATATATCATATCGAGATATAGGTTTTGATCGATCATATGTGATCAAATATAATAGAAGAGAAAAAAAAGATGAAAAATTTGATATATTAAAACATTCTAAATATATTTCTTATTTTGATTTCTTTCAGTGTAAATGTAAAAAACAAAAAGAATTTTATTCAAATTTTTAGCAATATGATAAAGAATATAATAATCGATTCTGTTTATTTAGACAACGTCTTGAATATTTTAAACTTCTTTAAAGTGTTGATAAAACTCTTCTAGTAAATGAACCTTTAGGAAATTTGAATAAGAAAGGTTCATTGATGAAATTAAAAAAACTATTTCGTAATTTAAAACTTGATTATGATATTTTTTTCTAGGTTAAGAGTTTTAATCCATCAACTATAGCTATTTACAAGAATGAAGTAACTCTTTTACGAGAATTCAAACAGATAGTCTTGAAAAAAAAAAAGAAAAAAAATAAAGATGAAATTGTTGTAATCAAAGAAATTGAAAAAATGCTCAATAAAAGAATTGATAAAGTTGAAGAATATTATTTGAAATCTTCTCAACTTGGTTCTGTGTCTTCTATATATATTCCAGCTTCTCCTACTCAGTAATTTTTTTACAGAGTAGGATTTTTTAGATGTAAACAAGATGATTAATTTTATGATTACAAGTATTTTATCTAGAATTATTATCTTGATTTGTGAACTTTTGAATACTATAAATCAAAAATATTTACAAATTTCATAACCAAATAATATTGAAAAAAACAATTGGGATGAAGAATCTGAAAATAATATAAATTATAATAAAGATTATATTACAATTAATCAATATTTACAAAATAATTTAAATATAAACAGACAAGAATTTTTTTTGAAAGCTAATGAGATAAATAACATTAATATAGTTCATGTATTTGAATATTCTATGAATAGTAGTATTTGTTAGAATTGTAGTTCAACTTATAGTCATCAGTATTATGCTACTTGCAGGAAAATAACATCAAACTGTGTTTGTGAATTTATATATAGATATACATCTCTAACAGAACAAAAAAATAAACAAGAGTGATTTACATAATTTAAAAAATGTAAATGGTGGACAAGTGATATTAATAATGTTAATCATAATTGTTTGGGAATGATAAATAAAGATGAATTTACTTTATTTATAAATGAACAACAAACAACAAAATTCAAGAAAGATATTATACGAGATAAAAATTGTTAGCATTATAAAGAAACAGGTTATTATACAAGAGATTGTGATAATTACATGTGTTGGCATTGTAAAGAAACAGGTCATCTTGCGAAAGATTGTAGTCAAACTTATATTAATTATATTGATTAATATTTTTATTTATTTTATTTATCTATTATTTATTAAATAATAAATCAAATCTAGTTAGTATATAAATATAATACTAACTAGAATTTTAAATACTAAATCAAAATGTTACTTAAAGATCAATTTTCTTTTGACTTAAAAATAATTATTAGTTTATATGAAGAAAATTTACTTTCATATAGTCTAATATAAATTTATTTTGTAAAATATTTTAATCTATTCAAAAGATATAAAATTTATATTCATAATATTTAAAAAGCTGATTCTGATTTAAAAATTTGTCAATTACTTGTAGCTTCTAT